AAAAAAAAAAAAAAAAAAAAGCTCAACAAACCTGATGCTTACCAGCGTTAGACAGTTTTTCACATCCCTTAAGACCTCAAGTAATTCTTCATAAAAAAAACAGAACAAAAAACCAAACCAAAAAAAACCCAACAACTTACGAATGGTACAATGCAGGGCTCAGCTTTGGGAGAAAAATTCATTAGTGGTTTTATAAAGAAGACTTTTAAACTCTGGATTTAGGCTTCATGTACAATGAATCCAATAACTTCAAGCTATCAACCAAGCAGTTTTTTTTTTTCAAAAAATTGTGCACACCCTACCACAGCAGCTGTTTTCATGGATTAGCAGATATGCAGAGCACCTACCTTGGTCAAGCCAAAATTAGATTAGTCCTTCAGATTTAAGGGGACAGCATTTAACCAAATCATTCAGAGCCAAATAAGCCACTAGATGGAGCCTGTACCTTCTTTTTAATGTAGCAGCTCTAATAGAAGACAAGAGACTGATTAAGAAGGGATCCACCTAAACCACTAGGGAAGTGCACTGCGCAGAAGCTTCTTTAATCTTGCTTTTTTCCATGTGTTCCCTGGGAGCTGATTGGCAAAGGGGCCCCAGCAGCCCAGCTGCTTGCTTCTGATCAGCTGGAAAGCAAAAGCTATGGGATGTTTAAAACCGTGTTTTTTGCCTCCAACTGCTGACTGGCCAAAAGGGCCCCCGCCATTTGCTGCTGATCAGTCAGGAAACAAAAAAAAAAACAAACCCCCCATGGGGTATTTAAAACCATGGTTTTTGCCTCTTGGTCGATCAGGAGCAGGAGACGAATGGTGGGGCCTCTCTGCCAATCAGTGGCGGGGAGGGTGCATGGAAAAAAGAGCAAGATTAAAAGGAGTTGCTGTGCAGTGCACTTCCGGTACAATTTAAATAGATCCCAAATTATAAGTCTACAGACTGCCTACCTAGCAAACTGTTACTTTGAGATGCAGCTGATTAATTTCTTTTATGAAGTGAATCTGAATGTATTTGAATACTATATCGTTTATTAAGATGCTTTAATTCACACCTCTATAGAGCAGTATTATCCCACATGATAAGTTTTGTTCTTGTTTTTTGCTGACGAATCAAATTTCCTATTTTAATGGTAAAAAAAATATCCATAACTGGGCTAGCTATAGAAAAGATTCTTAGATATGTTTAAATAAATCTGTATCAGCATGGAAAAAAGAGTTTTATTTTTAAAATGGCCCAGGCAACAATGTTTAATAGTGCATAATTAGTAATGGATAATGTGTAATTAGTAACAATTGCAAAAGCATGCCCAGGATGAGTCACTGTTAGAACTCAATGCGTTTCCTATTCCATCTAGTTTGTCGACCTGAAGAAAAAGCTCTAGTTCTCTCCAAAAGTGCTAAGACGACATTAACAACAACGTACTCACATGAAATGCCTTCAGAACACTGAAATCATCACTTGGATTTTCAAAGCTATTTTTGCTTCATTACTTTCAAGAATCACAGAGTTACCAAGTTTTTAACGGCCTCGTAAATATATAGGAAATAATTTGCAAACAACTGCTACTTACCCCCATAGTAACTTATTTTCTTTGAAATATGGTATGTCCACCTACATTGGAACATGCATACACACACAACTTGGAGACTTTTTGCTAACACTGCCACTGGACTGATATATAGATATTAGGAATAATGAAGGGCATGGCGCTGTAAATATCGAAGGATAAAACCTTTTTTCATCCCACAGGAGGCAGGCTTCACAAAGAATATCAGGAGAAAAAGTCAGATTTAAATGAAAGCCCAAAATAGTCTTGGGCCTGAATTTTGGATGTGCTCACTAAGAGACGTTATTCTCGTGGAATTTGGCATATCATGGATGTCTCATCAAGGTTTGCAATTCTAAAACTCTCCTGGCTAAAGTTATCGCACAAAAAAATATAGTTTTGTAGCAGGAGAGACAGGACAAACAGGAAGCCATAGACTCGAATGTAAAAGTCCCATGAATCAGGAGAGGATGCAGATTACATTAAAATGAAATGACATCATGAATCAATGGATAAGGTCTGATAAAGCCTTTTGAGGACTCTTCTTACAATAGATGCATACAGACCGATTTACCTTGGGTTTGAAGATGAAAAGCTGATACTGATATTCCTGTGAAATGAACTCTAACCAAGCTAACAGACATTCTTGGTGCAGTTCTTTCA